TGATACCTAATTATGCAAGCAGCATTATCAGCCTGAACTACAGAAGAACACAATTTGCATTCCTTCCATTTTCTAATCCTAACCTGAACCATATTGCATATCCAGTGTTGAACATACAGTTGTAATCACATCACCAAGAATCTTTAGGGGCGACATTTCTTCTGATTTTCTACCTCTTAGCTTTGAGTAGGAGCAGATATCTTCATACAAAAAGACAAGGAACTGCAGGTGTTGAAGATCTGAAACAAAAACAGCAGGCCTGCCAGCAAACGTGGAGAGAAAGCAGAGTTCACATTTCGAGTCTAGTGACTCTTTATGGTGTAATCAATGTATTCCCTTAGGGGAAGAAAATAAAATTAGAGAGCAGCACATGCTCCTTGGGTCTTGTTTGGTGGCATTGGTTGTGACCAGGATGTTTCATGACTGCCTTCGTTAGCAGTGGGATTATATTTCGTTATGTGGACACTAATCAGTTACATTCTCAAGGAATGCTGCACTCTGGGAGCTTCAATCTTTTGGATTAAACTTTCAACCAAAGTTCCATTGGTACCCTCACGCGGACGAGAACAATCCCACAACACTATTCCTAAGAGAAACAGTGGAATTTCTCTCAAAATCATCCTTCAATCATCTTCATCAAACAATCTGTTTATCTACTTACTGTCACATTGCTGTTTGAGGGAGCTTTCTACATGATAGTTATGTTACAACAGCGACTACGGCTCATTGGCTTCGAAGGTTTTGGGACATCGTAAGGTTGTGAAATGCAAGTTTTATTTTCTCGCTACTTCATCAAAACATCTGATCAACTTATATACCTCTATAAATCCTCCTTTACCTTATCCTTATCTGTTCTAAGGAAAATATTTGTAACTTTTTCAACAACTTTTCATAATTGAAGTCCCTCATCATTGGTACAATCCAGATAAATTGTTCCAATGCCTTCACAACTTAACAGGAATAAAAAATATTTCAGAGACAGTAGGAACTGCAGATGCTGGAGAATCTGAGATAACAAGGTGTAGGGATGGATGAACACAGCAGGCCAAGCAGCATCAGAGGAGCAGGAAGACTGACGTTTCGAGCCTAGACCATTCTTCATTTTCTGAAGAAGGGTCTAGGCCTGAAATGTCAGCCTTCCTGCTCTTCTGATGCTGCTTGGCCTGCTGTGTTCATCCAGCTCTACACCTTGTTATCTCAGGAATAAAAAAATATTTTTTTCTTTCTTTTCATGAACTGGATCTGTACTCGTGCAAAATAAAGCTGTGTCCATCAGAATTGACATTCAAACTGACATATCTGCTGTTAAAACAATGCTGTGGATCTTTGATGAATGGATATGTGTAATTGTCAACATTTGATCATAAAACCTATTAGCTCTAGCTCAGTGGTGCTTAATGCTTGTCACATGCAGGTCAGATGTGGTTAAATTTCTGATGTTGAGTTTACAACATCTGTCTTAAATTGAGTTATTTCTTTGCTCAATGGGTCATCAAGAGTTATTGCCATTTATAATTTACAATATTTTTAAATTGATAGGTTTTTTTTCTAAATATCAGACAGTTTCTGCAATAAAATACGGATCTCCTCTGCCAGATTAATGCCTTTGCAGTAAAGACATACATTTACTCTGTGGTGAATGTTTGAATTTAAACAGGCTTGGAGTCTGAAACCATAGACCAAGCATATCCCCAAAGAGAAAGTGGCTGAAATGGAGACAGACCTAACTCACAGATTACTTTAATGTTTCTGTTAGCCAATGACAGGGTAGCATTAACTGTGATTGTTTTAAGATTGGAAAGCAGAAAATAAATCACTGAAAATAAATGCCATGATAACTACTACTGATAACTACATTCATCACTGATGCTTGTTCCCCCAGAAATGCACGTGGCCACCATTGAGAAATCCCAGAGCAGTCCTGCCAGCTCAAAATCTTCTTCAGAAGGACATTTACGTTCTCATGGGCCATCTCGAAGTCAAAGCAAAACCAGTGTCACTCAGACACATCTGGAAGACGCTGGGGCCGCCATTGCTGCAGCAGAAGCAGCCGTGCAGCAGCTCCGACTCCAGCCAAGTAAACGACGCAAATAACTTCCTCAGCATGGCAGCTTAACGTTCATCTGTTGCCTTTTGTCTGAACTCCCTTACCTTTCTGAGCCTCTGTTAATCCAGTTTTTTTCAGTTCACTCCTACCGTTTGCACTGTCTGCTCACTGTGTGTAGCTGTACCTCTTTGTGAATTGTATTTATATATCACTGATCATTTTCCTATAACTGTGACTTTTCATTTGGGATAAGGTAGTGAAACTGGCTGTTCGTCTATTGTTAATCCCTTAACAACCAGTTATGTAGATGTGGATTTGAACAAAATATCTGATGGGTAACATAAACCTTTACATCACTTTCCATTTTGTTAATAATAACAACTCACACATTATTGATTATTCTGTCGATTAATGTATCCACTGAAAGCTTAATTTTAATAACTTTATTTTTTTTTCGCCCTATCATAAGTGTTTTCAGTTCATGCACCTGCTACTCAACTGCTGGAAGTGACATGCTGAACAACAAAAGAGGTGTCCAGCAACTGTTAATTATTTTGATACTGCTGTTGATCTCTCCCACTTGTTTCCAGTTGTCACAATCCAGAAAATCCTAAACTGGTCGGTGCAGACATAGACTCACATCCAATAACCCCCGAACATAAGAACAAACAGAGGTAGGCCATTTGGCTTTCAAAGCTTTTCTGCTGTTCGATCAGTTTGAGATGGAACTAACCTCAAATCAACATTCTAGTCTACCCTTAATAATGTTTCACCCCATTGCTTAGCAAGCTATTTACTTCTGCATTAAAAATAATCAAAGACTGTGTTCTCCCCACCTTTTCAGGAGGAGAGTTTCAAAATCTCTCAACCTTCTGAGAGAAAAAATGCCTCATCTCTATTTTAAATGACCAACCCCATATATTTAAATAGTGACCCTAGTTCCCATCAGGGGAAACATCTTCAAATCCACCCTGTCAAGATCCCTCATGCTCTTGTGTTTTAATTAAATCACTCTTATTCTTCTAGACTTCAGTGAATGCCTAAACTGTCCACCTCTTCCTCATAAGACAATCCATTCATTCCAGGTATTACTTGAACAAATCTTCTCTGAACTATTTCTAAATCATTTGTGTCCCTTCTTAAATAAACAGACATTGTAAACAGTATTCCAGAACTGAACAACCTCACTACTTTTGTATTCAACTCTGCATGTAATGAGCAATAGCATTGTATTGGTTTTCCCAATTACTTGCTGTACCTTCATGTAAGCCATTCAGTTCATGCACAGAGACACCCTATCCCCTTACATCTGAGAGCTTTTCAACCTCTTAATATTTTAATAACATACTTCATTTTTGTTCTTCCTGCCAAAATGGTAAATTTCATATTTTCCCACATTAGACACCATTTGCCAGATCTTTATTCCCTGACTTACCCTATTTATATCCGTATGTCGTCACCTTAGTCCTTTTCATAGCTTACTTTTCCACCTACCTTTTGTATCATCAGGAAATTTAGCAATGATACCCTTCATCCCTCCATCTAAATCATTTTAATGAATTGTAAAATGTTGAGGGCCTAACAATGATCCCTGTGGTACACCCTCATTACATCTTACCAACCTGAAAAAGACCAATTTATTCCATGTGTCTGGTTCCTGCTAGCCAGCTAATCTTAATTCCATGTCAATATATTACCTCCTACACCATAAGCCAATATCTTTGATGTGGCGCCTTATTAAATGCTAGTTCCCCTTTATCCACAACACACATTTCTTCTTTAAAGAACTCCAACAAATTGCCTAAACATATTTTTCTTTTCACAGAATGAAGTTGATACTCTCTAATTAACTTGAACTTTTCTAGGTGTCATATTATAACATCTGTAATATTAGCTTCTAATATTTTCCTTATGTCAGATGTTAAGCTAGCTGGCCTGTGGTTCGCTGCTTTCTGTCTCCGTCCCTTTTTTCAATAAAAGAGTTGCATTCACTAAATTCCAATGTAATGGAACCTTCCCCAATCTTGGAAGTAGTAATAATAAGAAACAATAATTTAAATAATAATTACAATGATTCATGATAACAATTAAAAGCACTTAAAAATTAATTTTACAAGTTTTGTTTCTATATGTCAAACTCAAGCAAGTACCAGCTATGTGCAGAGCTTTGAGAACTTGACTGTGGTGGAAAAGTGAACATTTCACAACACCTTCAATGTAAATATTAATAAGCATAATAATCCACCTTAACCTTACAGTACAGCCGTGCATTTTAGCTTCATTGGTGAATTCCTGCAATTGATTAGATTCATCATGCAAAGCAAACCTGCTTGATACAATTGGCATGATTCAGTTCTCCTTTCACAAACAATCTTAAATTGCAAAATGTAACATATCATCCTTCGTATAATCATTCATAATGCACAACTTGAAAAAATATATTCCCTCAAAGTTTTTCATTTTGCTCTCATCAAAACAATTCGCAAGAATGCCAACTAAATGGGAAACTCAACATTTATTCTGTGTGACAGGAGTGTGCTGATTGGTGGGTGGTCTTTTGATTGGTAGAGGAACTGCAATGGAGACGATGAAAGATTATACAGAATATTTCCCACCATTAATTTCTCAGGGCAGTACCTTGATCAATCTGCCTGGTTTAAAATGTAAACAAAGCCTGACATTAACTGTAAATGATCATTAACTGGTGCATTCTTCATGACAATGCCTCCACAAATCAGGATGTGGAGGTGTCAGTGTTGGACTGGGGTGGAGAAGGTCAGAAATCACAAGCTTTCAGAGTGTAGCCCCTTGGTCAGGTGAAGTGAGAAAGAAGCACATAGAACACAGAATTTATAAATAAAAGATCAAAGGGTCACACAACTGATGAAGATGTATTAAACAAACCTAAGATGCTATTAAATCTTTAATCAGTTAGAAGGTCTTAATTGATTTATATGTATATAATATATATCCCTGAATTCCTTTCAAGTCATTGCCCTGAAAGAACTAAAGGTTTTACAGTGTAAGGAAGAGGTGACATTTTAGGTCAGACAATGCATGTTGGGTGTGAGACCTTGTTTAGTATCTGTTTGCGTTTTGGTTTAGAGTCAGACTAGTTTTATTTCTAAAGTGGGAATTAATAAAATGCCACATTGACTGACTGTCTACAACTTGTGTGCTTTTTGAACAAAATAGAATGTATCTGCAAATACATTTTTTTTTAAATCAAGCTGTTGTTTATTCTGGAGTCAGTCTAGGTCAATGGACAGATGGTCAGAGAACAAGACTTGGTGCAAGTTAGGACTTAACCTGACGTTAATGGAGGACAGTTTGTGAGGCCATCTAGAAATACAATAGTACAATCAGGTCCAGAAATAACAAAGGCATAGATGGTGACTTCAGTCATAATGAGATCAAAGGAAGGAAGTGGGTGTGGGGGAGTTAGAAGTAGGTGGTTTTAATGATTGCACAGACCTCCACACTGTTAAACATATTGCCCAACAAAAATCAACGTTTATAATATCATTGCTTGAAATTTACCATTATATCTCTGTGATTGTTTGTCCATCCAAAATCCTGTTTATCATGCTTCACTTTTCAAATCTGGACACAAGTGTACGTAAACTAAGGATCCATAGCTGAGTTTTGCTAAAAAGCCTGGTGCCCTGCTTTACAACCAATGGCTGTATGAAATTCATGTGATAAGAATATAGATCCCTATATTTAAATATGATCCAAATAATACTTTTGCAGTATTAAAATAATTGTCTTCATCAGTATTGCATGCAGATTAACGTTGGATAATTAACCCATTACATATGCAGATAATCATTGTTAGTAGGAACTCCATAAAGTACCACAGTGATTCCTAATATCAAATTATAATCATGTCCCATAAAACACTTCAAACAGAACCTACAGATTGAGTTCATATGTATGTAGGGGCTGATTCACTAGAGTTCTTCTTTATGCATTTGATTTTACTTATTTTTATAACTGAATTTTGAATATAGGGCATTTTCCATGTCAAAGCAATTTTTTAGCTGAAGTGTAATCAAGTCTTGGCAAAAGAACTGGCCAGTTTTAACTCCTTAATGCTGTGCATGATGTGTCTCTTTTTGGTGTTTACACAACTTATTTAAATGGAACACTTCTGTTTGCATGAAAAACACTTAAGCTGGTTCCATCTGAGGATACATATTCTGGGTTTCCATTTCACCCACACTGCCACAGCACATAAAAGCGGTCAGGCTCAGAGTCATGCCAGGAAGCACAGACACAGCATTGCAGGCGTCCCTATTCAAAGAACTCAGTCTGACAATCTGCCTTCACCAGCCAATGAGAACAAAGACCAAAGCCAACTCGCCATAAGGAAGGTGATGTCAGAAGGGTCACCCAAGTCTGAAGGAGGTAAGATCAATATTATGAAATATTATTCAAGATTATTCAAGATGTTTGAAATTTTCTACATACATCAGCAAGTGTGCAAGATTTCCCAATATTTTTAAATGTGAATTGAATTATTGATTTAAAATATTCAACTTATCTCAGCGACTGCTCTAAATTAGTCAGAAGTCACACAAGACCTGGTTAAAGTCCAACAGGTTTAATTGAAATCATAAGCTTTCGCAGCACTGCCCCTTCATCAGCACTGCCCTTTAAATGCTGCCAAACCAGTGATGCCCTCATCCCATTAATGAATAAAGAAAAGAAAGGTGTCTTCTGACTTTGTCCCAGTCCAACACCGGCACCTTCACATCATGCTCTAAATTAATGATGGGATTGCAGATATTGTTTTGCAAATGACATGGCGATATATTTTGGGTTTCTTCTTCCCAACATGCAAGCTGCTCTATTCTAGCAGAGGTGGAGTGGTTTCCTGCTGATGATTTAATCACCTTGGACATTATTTCATCAATCACATTTAAATGCTAAATCCTCCTGCCTTCAATTTTTTTTCCTACCATCTTTTCTCTTACATTTTCTGAGTGTATCTTACCCTCGCCTACACATCAAATAATCTTACTGGGGTTGAGACTACACTATCTGGCAGTAATATCAGATAGGGGAGAGATTCTTCTGCAGCCTAAGCAATCTCCTTACTACGCAAAAAGTTTTATGAATTCTTTCACTCCCTATTTTACATTCTAAACAGACTTACTAAATCACCATACTGCCAATTCATTTAGATACTTTAACTCACAATGCATCAACTAAATACAAGTGATTTTTATTAATCTGTGCCAAAAGAATCTATCTAATTATAATTTGTTATCACCCTCGGGGGTCTGTCTGTGTGGAATCTGCATATTCTCCCTGTGTCTGCGTGGGTTTCCTCCGGGTGCTCCACAGTCCAAAGATGTGCAGGCTAGGTGGATTGGCCATGCTAAATTGCCCATAGTGTTCAGGGAGGTGCAGATTAGGTGGGTTATAGGGGAATGTGACTGGGTGGGATGCTCTGAGGGTTGGTGTGAACTTGTTGGGCCAAAGGGCCTGTTTCCACATTGTAGGGATTCTAGGATTGTCAGGCTTGCATGTTGAAAGAAATCATTGAGTAAAAAGCATGTCTGAAGCTTAGTACATCAGTATGATGTAAGTGTATTGGGCAGAACCTAACAGCTTTCACAAAATGTTGCCCATATTGAAAGGAAACAATTTTTGTTGCTTCAAAATAATTTGATATTTATTTTTGTTAGTGTTGCAAGATGAAATCTGTCAGAGTGCATCATGGTTTAAGACCTCTTTCATAGGTTTTGTGCCACCGTCTGCTTTCCTTGTAACTGCCTACAGGGTCTAGTTTACACAGAATGGTGAAGAAAAAAAGCAGCTGGAAGTCTGTGCAAAGAAGATGTAGTAAGATAACAGTTAAATATAGGTTACATTTCTCTGATTTACAGAGACTATTGGGAAACCTTGATGTTGAGTCTTACTCCTTCAGGATTCAAAATTATTTTCCCACCCGAATCCGGAAAACATAATCCATCATATTTGGTGATTTTTAATGCACTCCTGAGCATTAACCCTTTCAGACCTTTATACAACAACATAGAGTGCTTATTGAAAGAAGCACACATTCAATCAAGGTTGAAGATTGGGTTTGATTAATGTTGAGCAGGTGATTTGTTGGTACATTACAGGCTGTTTATGAGCAGCATAGCATTTGAAAGAGGAAAATATCTGGTAGCGAGCTAGGATTTATGGTCCATAAACACCCTAAATAGCAAGATAAGATTAGGAAGTCAAAGAAACCATGGAGCAGATTTTTACAGGATTCTAGCCATTTTAAAAACAGCAAATAATTGAGCAAGAACTCAAGGAAATCTAACTCCCAAAATTAATCAAAATAGTCTGATCCACTCAGAGCCATGCTTGCTGCAGCTGTAAACTCATCTTATCCTGCGCACACAGACCTCATTTAATATTGCTTCACTGTAATCAGGTTAATGGGGCCTGTATCATTTTCTTTTCTGCCTTAAAATTTATTTTATTTTGTAGGTTATTGTGTTTTGAAACACAGAAATTTAACAAAGTTAAATAGTTCAACCCATATGGTGTAATATTTCAAAGTCTTTTTTTCTGAAGAGGAAGGTCCCACAGAATCTATGTTTCATTTAAAGTTGTTGCACTTGAAGTAGTGATTCTAGAGAATGCAACTGCAGTGTTAAATGAGGACTACTGTGTCTAACCGCTGTTGCAAGTTTGATCTATGTCTAACTCTGTACCAAGATCCAGTTCAATCTTTCCGTTATATTTCAGTTGATGTTTTCTTGAACTCAGACTGGAAAAAGTCATCAACTGCTGTCCAAAATGCATCATTTGACCCCTGTTTGAATAGTTTAGTTCCACCTGCTGTGAGTGAATACATAAATTTGAAATGAGTTATCAGCTTATGACTGCAAGATAATCAGCGTTCTATGGTTCAATTATCTGATCTAGTAGAATGTCACAGCTGTAATAAGAAAGACATCTTGGAGGGCTCATCCAGCGAAGCCATATGGGTAGAACGGAGGAACAAGAAAAGTGAAATCACTATGATCGGGTTATTGATCTCCCAATAGTCAGCAGGAGATACATGAACAGATATGTAAGCAGATCATGGAGGATATAAAAACAAGAGTTGTCGTAGCAGGTGATGTAACTTCCCCAATACTGACTGGGATTCCCTTAGTGCCAGGGGCTTAGATGGATCAGAATTTGTTTGGTGCATTCAGTAGGGATACTTGAAACAATATGTCTATAGTACAACTGGAGAAGAGGCTGTACTCGACATTGTATTGGGGAATAAGCCTGGCCAAACAATCAATGTTTCAGTGGGGGAGCATTTTGGGAACAGTGAACACAATTCCGTAAGTTTTAAGGTAGTTAGAACATAGAACATAGAAGAGTACAGCACAGTACAGGCCCTTCGGCCCACGATGTTATGCCGAACTTTTACCCTAAACCTAAGGTCTACCTAACCTCCACCCCTACCTTTTACCATTATCCATATGCCTATCTAATAGCCGCTTAAATGCCCCTAATGAGGCCGACTCCACTACCCTCTCCGGCAAGGCATTCCATGCCCCTACCACTCTCTGAGTAAAGAACCTACATCTGACATCTCCCCTATATCTGCCTCCACTCACTTTAAAACTATGCCCCTCATAATAGCTACCTCCACCCTAGGAAAAAGCCTCTGGCTGTCTACTCTATCTATACCTCTGATCATTTTGTACACCTCTATCAAGTCAAAATTGTCGTCACTAACCATGTCCCAAACCAAACTAGTCTCACTTGACTGCATTTGGCCCATATCCCTTCAAATCTTTCCTACTTAACTACTTATTCAACTGTCTTTTAAATGGTCTAATTGTATCTGCATCTACCACTTCGTCTGGCAGTTCATTCCACAGACAAACCACTCTCTGTGTAAAAAGTTGCTCCTTATGTCCTTTTATAAATCTTTCTCCCCATACCTTAAAAATATGCCTCTAGTTTTGAACTCCACCACCCTAGGTAAAAGACCCTTGCTACTCACCTTATCCATGCTGCCCATGATTTTATAAATCTGTATATAGTCACCCCTCAACCTCCTACAGTCCAGTGAAAAAGGTCCAAGCCGATTCAATCTATTTTTATAACTCAAACCCTCCATTCCTGGCAACATCCTGGTAAATCTTTTCTGAAGCCTTTCCAGTTTAACAATATCTTTCCTATAATAGGGCGACCAGAACTGCACACAGTACTCCAGAAGAGGCATTATCAACATCCTGTACAACCTCAAAATGATGTCCCAATTCCTATACTCAAATATCTTAGCAATGAAGGCAAGTGAGCTAAATCCCTTCTTAACCCGTCTACATGTGACGCAAATTTCGAAGAATTATCTGCCTGAAGCCATTAGGTCGCTCTGTTCTAAAATGCTGCCCAGGGGCCTTCCATTACTCGTATAAGTCCAGCCCTTGTTTGTTTTACCAAAATGCAATAACTCACATTTATCTAAATTAAACTCCATCTGCCACTCCTCAGCCCATTGGCCCAATTGAACAAAATGTCTTTGAAATCTTAGATAACCTTCTTCAACCTCTCCACCCCTCTCACCCACTCCAACCTCTCCCCCACAGAACGTGCAGCCCTCCGCTCCAATCCCAACCTCACCATAAAACCCGCGGACAAGGGAGGCGCAGTTGTAGTATGGCTCACTGACCTCTACATCACCGAGGCCAGACGCCAACTCTCCGACACCTCCTCCTACCGCCCCCTTGATCATGACCCCACCCCCGACCACCAAACCATCATCTCCCAGACCATCCACAACCTCATCACTTCAGGTGACCTCCCACCCACAGCCTCCAACCTCATCGTTCCCCAACCCCGCACCGCCCGCTTCTATCTCCTTCCCAAAATCCACAAACCTGACTGCCCTGGTCGACCCATTGTCTCCACCTGCTCCTCCCCCACCGAACTTATCTCCAACTATCTCAACTCCATTTTCTCCCCCTTGGTCCAGGAACTCCCTACCTACATCCGTGACACCACCCACACCCTCCACCTCCTCCAAAACTTCCAATTCCCTGTTCCCCAACACGTCATCTTTACCATGGATGTCCAGTCCCTATATACCTGCATTCCCCATGCAGATGGCCTAAAGGCGCTCCGCTCCTTCCTGTCCCGCAGGCCCGACCAGTCCCCCTCCACTGACACCCTCATCCGCTCAGCCGAACTCGTCCTCACCCTCAATAACTTCTCTTTCAATTCCTCCCACTTCCTACAGACAATGGGGGTGGCCATGGGTACCCACATGGGCCCAAGCTATGCCTGCCTCTTTGTAGGTTATGTGGAACAATCCCTCTTCCGTAGCTACACTGGCTCTAAACCCCACCTCTTCCTCCGTTACATTGATGACTGTATCGGCGCCGCCTCGTGCTCCC